AGAGAGAGAGAGAGAGAGAGAGAGAGAGAGAGAGAGAGAGCATAATGAGTTGGAAGCGGACAGGCGAACGTAGAACAGATGCCACTTGAAATGGAAGGAGCTGTTTCGCGTCTAGATTCCGTAATTACTTCCCACCATGTGCACTGCAGAACTGCAGAATAACAAGTGCAGCGCGCTTGTAAGAAACGCGGCCAAAAGATTGCTGCTGTCTGACTGCCTTTCATCATGACAGACATTGTTCTCGTACTGTTATCTGTCTAGCACCTCTGGTTCACATTAGTCGGCGCTTATCCGAGGGTCAAAAGCGCAGCAGCGTAGGAAGAACAAAGTAAGAATTCTTTTAAAAGACAAACCAAAACGCGCTTGAAACAAAAGCAGCAACATAAGAACAAGAGCGGGAAATAACAAGTTCCCTCGTTAACATTATGCTCTCCCTGGTTATCGCGTACCCAGGGTCATTAGAACAATAAAGACGGGAAAACCAGGGATATTCAAAATGAATGAAACAAACGCGGAAAATAAATGACAGAATTTCCACACACAAAAAAAAAGAATAAAAAGCGTCAAAATTTCAGGCCAAAAAAAAAAAAGTTTCAAGAAGAAGCGTGATTTTTGTGTGGAAAGAATCAAAACAGGAATGTAGACAGAACGTGGCAGACCCAGGATCAAGGAACATAGTAATGAAGATGATTGATTAATAATGAACATTAAGAAACACATCGATACATATTTAAAGTTAGTGTTGGCTATAAAGGAGGAGAATGTACGTGAACGCTTATGGGATCACAGGAAGGGGGCTGAGTAAACGATGAGTTGAAAAGAAGACATTTTGGGTCAAAAAGCAAAGCTTTTTTCTTAAATCTTTTAAAAGGATAGGTCAAAAGCTATTAAGAACTGTTTGAAAAAAACCCAGAATTGTGGAGAAGGAAAGAACTTTAAAGTTAACTAATGCTCTATCTGAAATAACAGCAGTACTTAAGGGAGTCCTAAAGATAATACAATAAATGTATTGTAAATCTAACAAAATATTATGTTATGACAAAGTGGAAATAGGTGTAAGATTTTAGAAAAAAAGAGAAAAACTAAATCTTTTCAAGTTCTGAAAGCAAAAGGAACGTTTAAACATAATTTGAAGGATATTATGATTTAAATGAAAAAAGAAAAGTAATATACAAGGATAGTTGCCCATTGAGCCTATTCGGGTGATGAGCCACGGCAGCAGTTCAACAAATAGAAAAGAGTATTTGAAATTTATATTTTAAAAGAACCCCCCCCC